TAAAGGTTAATCTATTTTTTTAAATAATAATATAGTATGTTTTTTTCAATATTTTAAAATTTAATAAATATATTTTTAAATTTTTTAATTAATAAATTATTTTTAAAAAATTTTAAAATTATACTTATTGTTTTAATTAAAAATATAAATAAATTTAATATATATTTTAAAATATAATAGATTAAATTCACTATACTGGATATAATTAATATTTTATTAATAAATCCATTATAATGTAATAACAGATATTCATTATAATGGATAAATTTTCTTGATCCAATCAATCCGTTATAATGAGGATATATTGTATATTTTAATATATTAGACCTATAGATCCATAGTACAGTAGTTAGTGTTTCACAAGTCAGATCACAAGATATCAGTTTAATCTTATGTAAAGGTAATTAAATAGAATTAACATAATATCTGGTATCATAATCTGTTATGTGCTGTTTCTCATAAGAAGTTATTTCATACGCTGATTCAGCAAACATTGAGATTGTAATCTTTTTATTAAGGTGTAGTGATGTGATGATCATCCAGATGGTGTCATAATAATTATCTATAAAAGAAGTTATAGAATCACCATTATATTTGAAAATACAATCTGGGCTATACTTTATTTTAACCAATTCCAGACTGCCAATTCCTAATTAACTGTCAAATAAGAAAGCTTTGAAAAAAGTATTATATCAACATTAACATCTTGTGTGATATGATTCTTCCCAGACAGTTTAAGTATATAGGAGTTGTATTCTGCTTGATATTTATATCTCTAGATTTGTAACTTATACCAACTGAATCCGAAACTGGTGTGTCTACTAGGAGATTAAGGATTGTAATGGGTCCTTAAAGAGTTACATCCCATTTGATCACAAGAGTCTCTAGATTTGATAGCTTAAAACCAACTAGCAATCAAAACAGAAGCATTCATTAAGGAATATATATCTTATGTTATGACCCCTCTGCCACATGATGTATAAGCAAAAAGATATAATATGATAAGTAACTTAATCAAATAGTCAGCAGTATTCACTATTCTTACAAATAGTTGAACTGATAGGTTAGATGGTTTAAACTAGTGGTAGGACTTCCACCCTCTAAATAGGTATTTCTCAAAAATACAAATCTACTTTAAGAATATTACTAGTATTACTAGAACAATAAGTAGATTAGGTTAGTATTTAATTGTTGTAATAACAATAGATGATGTTTGATGTAAAGTAAAATTAATAATTATTCAATAAAATCTTGTATCTAATGCTATTTCTATTAATAAAAAATATTTTAATATATTATTTTTATTTTAAAAAAAATATAAAAATAAAAAACAATTAATAAAAAGACATTAGATCAAAAAGAACAATATTATTGTTAAAGTTTTTAAAAATATACAAAATAAATATAATTCTAAGATTAATGAGATCAAGTAAAACAAGTAATAATAATTTTGTTTTTAATAAAAATTAAATATTTATTAATAAAACAAAAGTTATCTTTATAATTTTAGGCAATTGAAGGTCTAATATATATTTAAGATATAATATTTTTATATATTATATAATTAATTAAGATATAAAAAAATGTTATATTGTTAAAATATTTATTTGTATATGTTAATATAGAAACAAATACTTTGACAAAAGTAAAATAGAAAATATTTTAAAATAACAATAATACAAAAAAACATAATATTTAATAATAGTGATCTGTAATACAAAAATTATTTTAAAATAGATAATATTTTAAAAATAAATATTAATAAAATTTAACAAGAAATAGTAAAGATCTTGAATAAAAATCAAGTGTAACAGTATAAGTAAAAAAAATTTTAAATATATATAAAATCATTTTTTTAATTTAATAAAAAAAAATAAATATAGATTTAAAAAATAATATATATTTTAGAATTTTAAGAATTTTAAAGATATTATTATTATAAAAAAATTTTAATAAAAAAGTAATTTACAAAAAAAAGTATTTTTTTAAAAAATAATTTAATAAATTAAAATAAATATTTTTAAAAATTCTAAGAATCTTAAAATTAATAAAAATTTTATTGGTTTTTTTAATGAATTATTAATAATCAAAATAATTAATCCATATGAATCCATATTTTTAATTTTTTATACAATAAAATAAATAAACAGATCAAATAATTATTTGGTTTTTTTTTTAACATATGCAATAAATTTTACTTGTCAATTTAATCGTTTACTCATAAATGTCAATAAACAGAACAAGACATCGGGTTTCACTACTCTTACATAACTCATTAGATAACAGATGGGTAAATAAATAAGCAAATAAATGTCATGTAATAATATAATAATAACAATGATATAATAATATAATAATAATAATAATAATAATAATAATATCATTATTATTAAATTTGACATCTTCCTTAGATCGGTTAAGGTCATTTGTAAGAGTTAATTTAATTTATATCTAAAACGGGTAAATCGGCTCAATTATCGCTTATCGTTAGCTCACTGAAATAAGCTAGTATCTGTAGACGCCAACACCAGACTTGATGTTCGCACACAACGTAAAATCTAGGTCAAACAATACTATCATCTCCCAATATAAACATTACGCTATCAAATAGACCGATGATAAATGTGCGATCATGGAATTCATTTTTTTTTTATTAATTAGGTCTTCAAAATCACGTTCAATGAACATTTACGAATGGTTAATTAAGCTTCTTAAAGGAATCCATTTTGACGCTGTCGCATTGGTCGTTGTTATTGCAATAGTATTTTAACATACGTATTTGGGTTTTTTTGCCTTTCATAATCGTTTGTTTTAATATATGACGAATTTTCGTTGCGTTCAAGTCTGACAAATAAATAATTATTTAAGATATACTGTATAACGCAAACAATAACGCCATATTATAAGGATTTTCCAGATTAACCAAAAATTACAATAAAGCGTACTATTTATACACTGCACATTACGTATAGTTATGCAAAACCGCCCGTGTGACGATTCTCTTAATTCGATCATCATGCAGCATATAGGAAATTGGGGATATCTGTAAAAGTGATAAACTAAAGATGTTCATGATGAAAGAATATAGTATAGGGATGTGTGAAAGGGTTTTGGAATGAAAGTAAAACGTCCATCACGTTGATTAGTAATAAAGAAACTTAATTTTAGTAATAAAATACCCTCGTTCACGGGACTTAAGAAAAAGGGATCGTTTTTTACGTAAACAATAAAATAATTAATAGTGGCTTTAGAATAATATCTCAATTATCAATGTCTCAAATGGGGATAGTATTTACATGTATTTCTTTCCTCCGAAATAAGATTATTTGGAATTGTATGTGCGAAGAATTGAGTACGAAATGAAAAGTCCAAATTAGGATTCTACCAAAAAAAAAAAAAAGGCTAATCTTTAGCCAAGGAATATTCGGCAGAATCCAATCCCGTAAAATCTACACTATGAATGGGTGGAGTATAATAATGAATCATATTATCTCCCGAGAACGAGATGTCGGGAGAACTCGAGGGTGTTATCATATTATTTCCATTTAGAATATTATTATTTGCAGAAGCATAGCTCGAGGTAGGGCTGTTACTATTCACGTTCAAAATGTTCGGGGGTATGTAAAGTGTTGTAAATGAATTTACGTGTGCTTGTGCATTGCGTGCACTGTTATCATATTTGAAACTTGGTTCGTTATTCAAGTCTCTATTCAAAGGATCCGAAGACTCGGTTCGATTTAAATGTCGAATAATTTCTTGAAAAGATGTAATATCATTTTGCATAAAAGTTGAAATCGAAATATTATTATCAATTTTGGGATCATTAATTACATCAGGATTTCGATTTTGATCATTTGCAATATTTGTGTTAACAATAAGCGATTCATAAGATGTAGGATTAGAATCGGTCATTTCAAAAGATGGTGGGCCAATGGATGGAGCAGAGGCGCTGAGTGGCAAAGCTTTAGTAGGAGCCTTGACAGCTTGGCTTGGAGTCTTCTTGTTGGGTTTCTTTTGTCTGTCAATAGTTCTAGCAGTTGGAGGCGGTGTTTCGAAGCTTACGAGGTTCCACTTATCTTTACGTTTCCGTTTACTAGATTTTGGATACACTTCATTTCGAACCTTCAATGCATCTTTTGCTATTTTTTGGTATTCTGCCCTTACCACTTCGCTCTCATCGGCCCAAGATTGAGATGCCATCGAAGAGATATTGGTCATGGGAAGAAAATATCCACTTTTCCTGGCAGTTTCGACGTATACCTTTCGGTAAATGATGAATGCATTCGGTGATCTTGCTGGAATTCTCCCATCCGGCGATTTTTTACTAACTAGATCGAACAGATTTACGATTGGAGGAAATGGTAGTTTTATTAAGATAGAGGATTGAGAAGGATGAACATCGCCACGAAATGATTCGTCATCACTAATGTTAGTGCGTGAACCATTAATTCCTGTATGATTTTTGTTCATTATATGAAAACTAAAGGCAATTTACTAAAACAAAGAAAGAGCTCGAACACTGAGTTTTTATAAGAGTAGATCCCAAGTTCTGGCATATCATGACATCATCAACTAACCATATAAAAATGCTGTACGTCAGAAGTTAAAGTTTTGTGATAATTGAATGTTATTAGTTCATTTATTGAATTTGAATAATGTATGCTTAAAATAAAAAAGTCACAATATTCTCTTACTGTACTTAGTGTTGAAAAATGCATGATTGATTAGCTACAATGAACCAATACTCTAGATGCTTAATATACCAAGCAATAAAATCCAGAATATCATCTGCCTAGAGATTAGCGGGTTTTAGTATAGAAACAATATGATTCGACTGATCACGGGAAAAGCATATGGTCAAGAATTTTCCTTTTGCATTCTTTTTTAGCTTCTATTCATTCTAAGAAATAATGTGAAATTCGTGACCTTAAAAAAATCGAAATACACGATCAAGATTTTGACAAAGAAAGAAAAATGATTGATGTTTATATACACTTGTTTTTATGAGTTAAAAAAAGTGGTTACTTATGTTAATTAATACTGTACTGTATACTGAATCTTTTTCATGATCGCGTTGGGACAAACTTTCAAGTCAATTCTGGATTTACTGTATTATTTTTTCCTGATATAGTTTAAAGGATCACCGTTACACTATAGTCAGGGCACATACTATTTTTGGAAGCTCACCAACATAATTTTCTGCGGAATTACGTAGACTTCATATTTTAGTGGGATGTTGTTGGGTCGGGTCCTTGGCAAATACGTATGCGCGTCAAATGGATCAGAGAAAGCAATTTTGGAACAAGACGTACTATAACATAAAACAACTCATTAAAAGTGATTATACTTTGCGCATCGATTATTTCACTGTATACAGTAATGAAGAATCAATCGATGCGAGGTCACGCGATAATGTTTGGATCAATTATTTTAAATACTAAAAAACCATCAGCCATTTCGGAATTATTTACTTCCTATCTGGGATCAATTTTGTCGTAAAGTACCATGCAAGATCTCATGATTTGATTTGAATTGTCGATTATAATGGTAACAATATGGTATTATTCAAGACATTCTTGAATTAGTGTCATAAATAAATTAATGCGCCATCGAGAGTCTTGAGTTTTGGAAAACAACACCAAAATTTTCCGACATGATGCTTTTGAGAATTCTTAAAAAGGCAGAACACATGGTTCGTTCGTCTGCATCTACGCAAGTCGCGTGGCCAAATAAATTTTCGATCTAGATGATATTCTGATTAGACCTGCTGGTTGATAGGTGTTTACTGGATAAAAGTTTGCAAGGGATGAGTAATCCCTGTTGGAAAATTTCTATAAGTAAATTTTATTATTTGCCAAGATGAATCATCTGATTTTGAGATGGCGATGGTTTTACTCACGTATTAACCAAATCACATGACATGCATTTGATTTATAACTCGCACTGTATGTAATACAGTAAATTTCGATAAAATATTGGCAGATCTCTTTTCTTAATTATATTAATCTATAATACTGCAGAAGGACTGTATATTACATTACGGTATGGTAAAAAGATGTTTTTTTTTTTTACATCCATTTCTGTTTATAATCTTATAATCTTATTAAATTCCAAAGTCAACTTCAAATAAACAAACAAATATGCAATATCTACGGTGTATATAATGCAACGTTTAAATTTATTAAAATCATATTATAAAAGCCGGCAGATTTTTATGAAAATACATACAAACATACACATGTATTATAATTGTATAATTAATATTTTATTTGCTTGTTTGTTTAGATTAGACTTGTAAAATTATAAAAATTTTATATACCGTTGTATAATATTGCGTAAAGCAAAATTTCTAAAAAATTTTTTTTAATAATTAATAAATGAAATTAAAAAAAGTCTTGAGAAATTTCTATTTCTATTTTATGTTTTATTTATAATCCAACGATCAAAATATAAAAAATACATTTTGTGCAATAAATTTTTAATGTATCGCTCAAATTAAAAATAAAATTCCACAAAAATCATTGATTTTTTTTTTGACAATGTAATTTAAATTATAAAATTGTTAAAAAAATAAAAAAACGAAAAATTTTTTATAATATTTTTACAAACATGTTTTTTGTTTTTATTTTTTTAAAAAATAATTTTGTACTGACCATTTTTATAATAAATTATATTAAATAAAATAAAATAATTTATTTTATTTTATTTTCACTATTATTTAATTCTTTTATCACTTATTAATTAAAAAATTATTTTATTTTAATATTTAAAACAATTTGAATTTTCTAAAAATAAAACAAAAAATACTTTGATATCAAAATTTTATTATTAAAAAAAGATTTTTAATTTGAATTTTATTTCAGAATTTATTAATTTATAAATAATGTTGTTGATATTAAATTAGTGAGTTTGTTACTAGTGGCAACTAAAACTTATGTAATGTCAGAATAAATTGTTTTTCTTTTTTTGAAAAAAACAAATAAGACTTTGGCTAATTACTTTCTCTTCTCTTTTATTAATTACTATCTTTTCTTTTCTATTATTGTTATTCTTTTTAATAATTCTTTTACAGTTTCTTTGGTCAATTTTAATTATTTTTTTCTAACTTGGCAAATATTAAAAATGCAAATTTCTTAATTAAAAGATTCTTTATTAATGAATTGACTTTTCTTAATTGTTTAATTCTTATATTCTATTTTTTACACTTTTTCTTTCTATTTATATCATTATTGTTATTTTTAACTAATATATTATAGAACTATATTACTATAACTTATAATTAGCATATTATAAAATAATTTATTTAATCTTTTTATTATAATATAAAATTATTTGCTAAAAGATTACCAATATTTCAATTAGTAGCATAATACAAAAATCACATTATATAATCTTAACTGTACATTTTTTCTACTAATAATATATATAAAATTATCAATTAATAAATAGTTCAATAAATTAAATATATATATTATATATATTTTAAATAAAAATAAAATAATCAAAAAGTAAAAAAAACTCTTTCCACTAATCTATTTACCAATCCAAAAAACAAATGTTCTCAAAAGATTTTATATTTTTCTGATAATAAAATCTATACACTTTCCTTAACAACATTGATTGTCTAACCAGCAGAGCAAGCAACAGCTACCACTTGTTCTCTTTTTCTTTTTTAAACACTTTCTTGCATATTTTTGTGACTAAATACAAGAAACATATCCAAAAGGTCTATGGCAAGAATACTTTTTTAGAAAGAAAATTGACAAGAAAAAGTATTCTCCAAAGATCCCCAGAAGGTTCAAAAGCCTAGAGAAATAAAAAAAAAAAGCCTTTAGCCTTTATATCATCTCTTTGGCTTCTTATTTCTTTTCTCTTAAGTGTGTTTCCTTTTTCCTTGTTTTTCTAGAGAATTTTGCCTATCTCAGTTTGACCCTGAATTTTTGGTTACACTAGACTTTTCTGCAAAATGATTAATCAAGGTTACAGATTGATTGATTACGTCAGTTACAAAAAAAGTAAACAAGATATATCCTCCCATATATTTCAAGTTGCATAACACCAAATTGATAATGTGATTGGTTTTGGAAAAAGTTGAATGGTTTTTTAGTTGAAAAAATAATAAGGGAGTTTTGGGTGAAGTCTGAAGTTATAAGTAGAGGAGAAACAATTCCCTTTTTATTTTTTTCTTTAATTTGCCTCTTTTCTTTTCCTATTTTACCTAGAGAATTGAAAGTAACCACAAGATTCAAATCCTATTCCAATCTGACAACAAGTTGGAGTAACGATGTTTATCCCAAAAATAAGAATCTTGAAATTATTTACTGGTTGAGCAAAGCAATAACTTTAAATAGATATAGCTTGGAAGAGAAATCAACAATAGAAAACCAATATTCTTTTTGATCAGAAGTCTTCAAATATAAAGTTTCAAGAAATACTCTTCAGGAAGTACCCTTAAACATTCTTGGATATTGCCACTTTAATGAAAATTAAACAGTCTGACTAATCACAGGTAGTGACAAGTGAGTATTTATAAGAGGTCTAGATTTTGTTCACTGAGATACCATTTCAATAATAAATAAAATAAATGATAGCTTTTTTTTCTTTTTTTTTATATCACTTTATTTGTGCACATTTGTGATGTTTTTTCTACCCTTATTTCTTTTTTTATTTCTTATCCCTTGTGTAATTTCTGAAAAAGGGGAACAACACAATTTGGATTTATAGTTGTGACTTATAGCATAACCGGATCTTAATTCTAACCATTAGGATAGTAACATATCACTCCTATAAATTGTATCTAGAGGCTTAGGCTTAAGATAAGTGAGCTGGGTCAAGGAAATTTGTACTTTGCATATATTCTCATGTGTGTAATAGTTTTCTATGATTTGATAAATATATAACACCAGTCTGATTGCAAATTAAAAAAAATAATAATCAAAAAGTAAATATAAGATTTAAAATATTTTTTAAATATTAAAATATTAAAATAAATATAAGTTTTTAATAAAAAATATTTATTTTAAAGACTTGTGGATCTATAATACAATAGTTAGTACTCTATAAATCAGATTACAAGATATCAATTCAACTTCAGATAAAAACAATTGAACTATTTCAAAAAAGATAATTGTTATTATAACTTATTAAGTATTATTTTTTATAAAAGTTATTTTATATATTAATCCAGTAAATATTGATATTGAATCTCCAAAAAAAGATATAATAATATAATAATTATCTGAAAAATAATATAATAATTGCCAAAAGTTGTTCAATAGTAGTTGAACAAAATAATATAAAAACATTTGTTTAATTTTTCTAATCAAGACTTCTCTTGCATTTAATATGTAAACTGAACTATACTTTATCTTAACCAATTCCAATTATTATTTTTTTATAGTAATTAAAACCCTAGCTTAAAATATTTCAATTTAATATAGAGCCTAATTGGCTTAAAAAATATCTAATTA